TTTCTTATAAGGGTGTGGAAACCTCTCCCTTGTAGACGTGTTTTAAAACCATGAGGCTGATGGCGTTACATAACGGGTCAAAGTGGACAATATGTGCTAATGATGAGCTCGGGTTGTTACAGTTCCTTATGAAAATTTAGGGATTAAAATAGGAGGTTAAAGGTTTGAAATAGGATTTGGACCTTAAAATAATGAATGGTTCTTCTATGAGCGTTTTCTCTATTAGCCTGCTCCGTTTCCTATACAATATGAAAGCCATTTCGGATTCAAACATCTAGAAATATGTTTCAGGTGCTGGTGCCATAGAATTTATAATCTGTCATGCAGAGATTTCCATTGCTTTTGTAGAAGAGAAGAAGATCTCTGAGGTTCATAGCCATCATTTTTACAACTAATTACGAGCCATATAGCTTCAAGTAAAATGTTTCTCATATTTACTTTCAACTCTCTCTTATTCAGCTGTTGAAAACACTCCCCAACACAGCAAAGACTCTTAAAAGTAAGCTTTTATTCATTTTCTTCATAAACCAACAAAAATAGCTTGCAATTTATAACATTTATTTTTGCTATGCAGCAATTGTGAGCTTTGGTAATGTTGCGAATGATCATAAGGGAGAAGTCGACAAGTTCGGGTTGGAAATATATTCTTGGGAAGAGTTTCTGCAAAAGGTGAGTTGTATAAGTATATGTACAGCATATCTAGCTCACAGTTTTAGTAAGTCTATGGATTATAAAGGCTTGGGTTTGTGTATCTTTTGTTTACAAAAATCTGAGTTTATGTACGTCTGTGTTTGATTTGTAAAAATAACTACGTAGTCTTGGAAAGATTTAGACGTCTACCACTGAACTTAGACTCGGTTTCACAACTCCAAGCTATACAAATCTAGCCTGTGAACAAATATGGGGTGACAATTTATACCATTTTTGTAATCGCCCAAGCTCACCACTAGCAGAAATTGTCTTCTTTAGGCTTTCCATTTCGGGCTTCCCCTCAAGGTTTTAAAACGCGTCTGCTAGGGAGAGGTTTCCACAACCTTATAAAGAACGTTTTGTTCCTCTTTTCAATTGATATGGGATCTCACAATCCACCCCCTTCGGGGCCCAGCATCCTTGCTGGTACATCGCCCCAGTGTCTGACTCTGATATCATTTGTAACAGCCCAAGCCCACCGCTCTCAAATATTGTTCTCTTCGGGCATTTCCCTTCAAGGTTTTAAAATGCATCTTCTAGGAAGAAGTTTCCACACCCTTATAAAGAAGCTTCGTTCCCTTCTCCAACCGACGTGGGATCTCATGGACAATATCTACTAGCAGTAGGCTTGGGCGGTTACAATTTTAGTATTATATATATATATACACTGTCATTTGTGAACAAAAGTGAATATCAAGCCTCTTTCTCCTCTCAGAATGCTGTTTTTACCACTTGAAACAGGGAGATAGCCAACAATATGAACTCCCAGTGAAAGAGAAAAGTGATATCTGCACTATCATGTACACCAGTGGAACAACTGGTGATCCCAAGGGAGTGCTGTTATCCAATAATGCCATTATAGCACTTATAGCCGGCGTCAAACATTTGCTTACATCTTTAAATGTAGAGGTGATCTCAGTTCTTCCCCTTCATAACTCATTTTTCAAGCTTGTTGATTCAAATGAGATGCATATGTGTTCATCGTTCTTGTTATAGGTTCAAGAAAACGATGTTTACATATCTTATCTTCCGCTTGCTCATATCTTTGACCGGGTGATCGAGGAGGTGTTCATTTTAAACGGTGGCTCCATCGGATTCTGGCGTGGGGTGAGAAATCATATATTGATCTTTCCCTTTTCAAGGCAAATAAATTGAAGAACTCATATCATGTCCATGAATTTTGTAGGATGTGAAATTGTTAGTTGAAGACATTGGCGAGTTGAAACCAACTATTTTCTGTGCAGTTCCTCGTGTTCTTGAAAGAATATATGGTGGTGAGCGTATAAATTTGTTGCTTTCAAATTCGATATCGTGGATTCAAACCCTGCAATGTCGTTTTGACATTCGGGCTAATACTTAGGCCAACATGTAAAAAGATATTATAATATTTATACAGATCTATCAACTTAAGCGAATATGTTAACTTTTACCAATGTGTTTGATGACATTGTTTAGCTTTGAACCAGAAGATATCTTCAGGAAGCTTGATAAAAAAATCGATGTTTAACTTTGCATACTCGTAGTAAGTGGAAATTTCTTATCGAAACCTCAACTTGTTCATATTCAAGTGCCTGTTGTTTTAAATTCTTCCATGCTGTTCTATCTCTGCAGCAAATATAACCAAATGCAGAAGGGGAAAAAACATGAACTAGCAGCCCCACTTTTTGATAAACTTGTGTTTGACAAGGTAAAAGGCTTCACTTCAATCAAAACCACCTTAAAAACGTCGAAAGCTCATTCATCTTCTTGCAAGGATGTTTTTAGGTGAAGAAGGGATTAGGAGGAAGAGTGCGAATCATTTTATCTGGCGGTGCCCCTCTTGCAGCTCATATTGAAACTTTCTTTCGAGTCGTGTCTTGTGCTCATGTTCTACAAGGCTATGGTATTATCATCCTTACCTTAATTTACACAAAAACAAACATGTTCTGTTTAGAATTTCCAAACAAGCCTTTATTTGCAGGTTTGACAGAAACTTGTGGTGGAACATTTGTCAGTCTACCAAACGAGTTGCCAATGTTGGGAACGGTTGGCCCTCCAGTTCCTAATGTGGATATCTGTCTTGAATCAGTACCCGAACTGGGATACAATGCTCTCGCTAGCACGCCTCAGGGTGAAGTATGCATCAAGGGAGATACGTTGTTTTCAGGATACCATAAACGCGAAGATCTTACCACAGAGGTCTTAGTTGATGGATGGTTTCACACTGGTACTACCGATTATTCTTTCGAAATTTTCATCTCTTGACGTCCAAAAGCATGTCGATATCACTCGGATCCTTACATTCTTTGAGTTGTATTTAGGGGATGTTGGCGAATGGCAACCAGATGGAAGCTTGAAAATTATCGACCGCAAGAAGAACATCTTCAAACTTTCTCAAGGCGAATATGTTGCAGTGGAAAATCTCGAGCTGATTTATGGCCTTGTTTCCGACATCGAAATGGTACGAATTCTATCTCCTACTATTATTCTACAACGCCAAAAACGTCGCCATAACTTGTATAGCATAATCGTTCATCATTAACAAAAAATATATCGAAACCATGTTCGAAACTTTAGCGACACGGAGTATAAACGTCGTTAAGAGTTAACTAAAATGTAGAAACTGATAATATTTGAATGAGATTGTTCAGATTTGGATATTTGGGAGTAGCTTCGAGTCCTTCCTTGTTGCTGTTGTTAACCCAAAAAAAGAAGCACTTGAACATTGGGCAGAAGAAAATGGAATCAAGGGGGACTTTGCTGATCTTTGTGGAGACAAAAGGGCAAAAGATTATATTCTTGGACAACTTTCAAAGATTGCCAAAGAAAAAAAGGTTCATTTTTTATTTCTTGTCACGTCGTGATGATCACGAAGATGAGTTGAACGAAACATGAATTGAAGTTGAAGCGTTTTCTTTTGCAGTTAAAAGGTTACGAAGCTATTCGAGTGGTTCATCTCGACCCCATCTTATTCGATATTGAGCGTGACCTTCTTACTCCATCGTTTAAGAAGAAGAGACCACAATTGCTCAAATACTATAAGGTTCTTTCCTCTCTACAAAACTTGATATCGTTAACTTACGTTTGTTGTCGATGTTTCGAATGTTTCTGGAATTAAGGATTAACAGGAATGAAGGTGAGAGGTTATTCACGTTGGAGTTTCGCTACTTCTCATTAAGAGTTAGGACACCTAAATGAAGGTTTAATTTAAATTAACGGTCGAATGTTGTGAACAGAAAGAGATCGATGATATGTACAAGAGCGGGAGCAAGCCAATTGCGTAAGGAAGAAGATTGAAGATGGGAAGGATGTAAAGCTTCATATTTCTATGGAAATTCAACTCTTCCTCATTAATATATATTTTTTTTTTGTTTCACTTTTGCTTTATTAATTGATAGTTTAAAAAATTAAAATTAAAATTCTCTTCAAATGCATTATATTAAAATTTAATTTTGTATCCTAAATGGTGATTCAACATGGATACTACTTTATTGCTGTTGTATTATTTCTTTCTTATTTTCTTTAAGAGTACGATGTTTCAGCGATGTCATGACTATGCCTGATAGACATGAAATGCCTCAAAATGTACATCTCCCTACTCAATAGTTATTGCATTTTTGCTTAGGTTCCCATATAACACAAATTTCAGTTCTCTCTTGCTTTCAAATCTCTCTTTCCAAAACCTCTCTCCTCTCTTGCTTTCAAATCTCTCCTTCCAAAAAATGAAAGAAGGGACAGGTTCAGGGGGAGTCAAAGTCATAAGACGAAGACAAAGAAGAGAATAAAACAAAGAAAGCTAGCTCGGCAAGGGAAGGGAATACAGGGGAAGGGTCGAAGACATGAAACCGAGTTGGAGAGGTTAAGGCAATGGAATGAACAGCTTTAACAAATGAAAGAAGGGAAAGAACAAGAACTTCAGGGAATATCGGAAAAGAAAAGGAGTGAAAGAGTGAAAGCAAGCCAGTCTCTCTCCCATGCTTTCTAAAATTTTCTCATAAGTCTATATTCATGTTGTCGCTTGACCCACTCAGTGTTGAGAGTGAGTGCCACTATATAATGAGAAACCGCAATGGTGACACCTGCTGGTAGTAGGCATGTACGAGTTTGTAACAAAATTTACTATATAATGGGAAGCATAATTCATAAAATTATGTTGCAAAGATTATATAAAAACACAAAAAAAAAAAACAAAAAAAAAAAAAAAAAAAAA